ATTACTTCAAAAAGAGTTACAATAGTTGACCTAGACTATTACATCATCTATTAATGCTTAGCCCCGAAACCCGGGCGTTACAATTCTCTCCCCCTTAGGATGATTCCGTCCTGGAATCATGCATCAGCAAACAGATGTGGATAGCGACTCATCATGTCACTCTCTGTTTCCCAAGTGAGATTCATCCCATTCGAATGTTTCCATCGGACTAGCACTAAGTCGACCATCTTGTGTCATAACTTCTTAGTCTTACGGTCAACGATTGCATCAGGCTCTTCGATTAGCCATTTATTTTCATCCATCCTTAACTCTGAGATTAGAATTATGTCGGGAACTTCTCCCGTGAACTTCCTCAAATAACACATATGAAAGGTGTTATGAATACCATCTAGTTCTTCGGGTAATTCGAGCTTGTAAGCTTGGTTCCCAACCCTCTGAAGAACTTTGAACGGTCCAATAAACCTTGGACCTCAGCTTCCCTCGTTTTCCGAATCTTATAAGTCCCTTCCACGGTGAGACTTTAAGCAAAACGGAATCTCCAACTTCAAAAGTCATCGGTCGTCTTTTCTTGTCAGCATAGCTCTTCTGACGATCCTGAGCTGCTAACATCCTTTCCCTGATCACCTTTAACTTTTCAGCAATCTCATGGACTATCTCGGGGCCCATAAACTGCTTCTCTCCGGTCTCAAGCCAACAAGACGGCGTACGACACTTCTGTCCATACAAAGCTTGATAGGGTGCCATCTTGAAGTGGAAACTGTTGTTGTAGGAAAACTCTACCAAAGGTAAGTGCTCATCCCAGTTACCTTGGAATTCTAGGGTACATGCTCTTAGCATATCTTCGAGTGTTTGTATCGTTTCTTTCGCTCTGACCATCAGTCTGCGGATGGTAAGCTGTACTCAAACACAACTTCATACCCAATTCCTCTTGTAGACTTCTCCAAAATCGTGACGTGAAACGACTATCACGATCCGATACAATCGTTAGAGGAACACCGTGAAGTCTTACTATCTCTTTCACGTAAGCATTTGCGAGCTTATCCATAGACCACCTTTCGTTGGCTGCTATGAAGTGTGCACTCTTAGTGAAACGATCCACGACCACCCAAATCATGTCGTGACCGTTCTTTGTCCTGGGCAGTTTAGTCACAAAATCCATGGTGATGTCTTCCCATTTACCCATGGGTACAGGTAAGGGTTCTAAACTCCCATACGGTTTCTGATGTTGTGCCTTAACTCTTGCACAAGTTACACACTCGGCCACATACTTTGCAACATCGAGCTTCATCGTCGGCCACCAGTAGTAGGGTTTTAGGTCCCTATACATTTTAGTGCTACCGGGATGAATCGAGTACATGGTCTTGTGAGCTTCTTCCATCAGAAGATCTCGTATCCCTCCCGTCTTAGGTACCCAAATTCTATCTTGGAATACCTTCAGTCCTTGACTGTTTGTACCGAACACCAACGTTTTACCCAAACGTTCTTCTTTTCGGTCATTCTTCTCTGTAGCTTCTTCTTGAGCTTTCTTTATACTTTCCACAATGGTCGAGACAACTTCTATTCTCAACGCTCTTGGCCTTTTTCTCTCAAGTTTGACTTTTCGACTGAGAGCATCAGCGACAACATTTGCTTTACCAGGGTGGTAAAGTATCTCACAGTCGTAGTCCTTGAGTAACTCTAGCCAGCGTCGTTGCCTCATGTTCAACTCCTTTTGATTAAAGAGATATTGGAGACTCTTATGATCAGTGAAAAGTTTGCAATTCGTTCCATAGAGGTAATGTCTTCATATCTTTAGAGCAAAAACTACCGCTGCCAACTCCAAATCGTGAGTGGGGTAGTTCTTTTCGTGCTCCTTCAATTGTCGAGATGCGTATGCTATCACCTTTTCTCTTTGGTCTAGAACACAACCCAACCCGACTCCAGATGCGTCAATATAGACTGCAAAGTCTTCAACTCCATCGGGTAGAGAAAGAATCGGTGCTTCACATAACTTCTTCTTTAGCTTCTCGAATGCTGCTTCAACTCCACCTTGACCGTCGGGCCAAAGTCGGCTGGCAGTCCATTTGCGAACCTCTCAATTTTGGAGATTTCGGTTGGCACCAGGTATGGAAATAACTTCATCTTCTCAGTGAATGCAGTAGCATAGTCGTCACTGCTCATCCTTCCCTTCTTCAAGTTTTGGAACTCATTTTTTAAATCAATCAGATCTATCTCTGAACAGTACTGCATCTTCAGTTGTTCTAAGAACTCTTCCCATGACATCTTCAGGGCTTCTCCTCGTGGCATCGTATCTGCCAATAACTTCCACCAACTCAAGACTCCGGTCTTCAGTTGCCTAACTGCAAAGACAGTCTTCTGTTTCTCGCTACAGTTGCAGCTCTCGAACACAATCTCCATTTCAGAGATCCAATCCATAATCTCAACAGGCTTTGGGCTTCCTAAAAACTTGGGGGCTTCGCACCCAAGAAATTCTTATACATCCGCCCATCCTTGTCGTTTCCCCTCTCCGGGTCATTCCTTCGTTCTCCTTGAGTCCCAACTTGACTCACATGGCGGCTATAGTTCTCTTCCTCTGATTGCTCGGGAATCAGCTCGGGTTGCTCAATGGGCATGGTAGGTTCGTCCCTATTTTCGTGCAACATCTGCCTCATTTCCTCCCTTTGTTCTGCTGACATAGCCCGAATCATGGCTTGTACTCCAGCCATGGTGATTGGCTCGGGTGCAACTTCTACTACAACAGGTATTTGCTGAATCACTGGGGGTTGATTCCTATTCCCATTCGCATTCCCAGCTCCACTGCGGGTTCTTGCCATTTTGATCTATACACCGAATAAGGTGAATTTAGATATTTATTTAGGATAGACGTTTAAATCATCCTTATCTCTCCGAAACGTTTACATGCTAGTTCTAATATCGTAGTCGTACGTTTAGAATCCTGAACACATAAGGTTTCTAGATCCGGTCGGCAACAGACCATAGATCCGAACAAATAACATCATATAAGGCATCAATCATTTTGCACATAAAGCATATTAGGCATACTTTCCTAAATAAGCTAGTGCTCACATCTCACAATCATCGCTTAGCATTCTAATTTTAAGTCTAGAAATCCTACAAATTCCTAGTTCGCTTAAATTAATGCTCTGATACCAACTATGACATCCCCATTTTCACGGCCAGAAAAGACCGATTTTGTTTATGCTTTGTTTAAAAATCAGAGTAACATTTTAAATAAAAGTGTTGCGGAATTTGTTCCAAAAATAAAATATGATAAAGATTTATCAAAGCATTTCCGTAGAAATGTATTTCATTAAAAACCTCGGGATGTCATGTTCGATACAGATCAAAAGCATAAACAGTACAATATAAGCCTTACTACATTTATTCATATCTACAGGCCTATATCAGTAATCTCTCATCCCAAACATCATATCTATGCTCGTGCACCACTACCTGTAATACAAGAAACTGAGTGGGTCAGGCTTGGGAGCCTGGTGAGCACATAGGGTTTTCAACCCACAATAAATAAAGTTTATTAATTTCATCAACCAACAATAACCCGATTACCCGTTCCCGTTATCCTCACTTTACGTCCCTAAACACCTATCATAAAGGACCTAGCCTAAGGATCATCATCGGGATGGACACTACTGCTAAGGGGTTTCCTCAGTAATAAATGTCCTAAAGATAACCATGAGGGGGATGGAGTACACCGGTGAACACATCGTTCACAAACACCTACAGGTTGCGAGCCTGCTAGCGTTCCACTGGACTGTCTAGAAGAGTCTGTGGTTGTCATCCATACTCCGCTAGATGACAGAATCAACAACAACAACATCGAGGCCTGTTTGGTTGTCAAACCAACAAATAATGGGATAAAATAATAACAAGAAAACTCAATTCACTGCTACTTCATACACTAGAGATAGTATAGAGTAAGCAGGGTCGGTCCACAGGAATACGGGACTTCTTATTTAGCCATATTCTCACACATCATACAAACAATATTAAAATGGGGGATTATGTTTGAACTCGAATTAAATCTCATAAATAAACAAGATTAATACTAAAAATCAATAAAAGAAATAAATTTCCGATTCGGATTCCTATACATGCATTATGTTGTAGGATGTAATATGACTGTGATTCATGTTCAATCTAGGTTGGTAATTTAGATATTAACAAACTCTAATACCCAAGTTGACAAAAGTGTTTGATTTAAAACATGTTCTTCAAATAAAACTTCATTTAATTGATTCAATTCAAACAAGCTCTTGGATCAAATCATTAAATGACATTAAGTTCTTGTAACAATTACCAACAATGTTCAACATTCCTCATAAGCTTGGGATATGAACATTTAATCTTTGATTACACTGATTTTGATCTAATTACAACCAATCAAGTGCATGTTACTAACATCAAATCATAAAACATATACGAATTTCACAATTTGATTAACTAGATTAATAAGAACCCTAATTCATTGATCAAGTGAAAAGAGAACCAATCAAACATGTAATTAAGTCGAAATCAAATATTACTAGATAATAAACATAAAGTCAAGTGCAAATTACAACTTAACAACAAACACTTAGGAATCCAGAATCAGAAATGATAAAGAAATCAGCCACACATGTCTAAGTTAAACTACAAATTCAACTGGTTTGATCTTCAAATTAACTTACAAAATGTAAAATAAAGTGTTTTCAAGATGCTAGATGATGATATGATACACCAAAATCGTCCCCCTGAAGTCTCTTGTCAAAGTTATGTTTGAATATGTCAGAAGAACATGATAAATCGGAAGTTAAGAATTCAAATTTTGATCAGATCACGTTACACGGCCCGTGTAACGTATGCCTTGCCATTACACGGCCGTGTAATGACTCTGATGTGCTGAAATACTTCCAAAGCGCGGCCGCGTAACGTAAGCTTTGCCAAAGCGCGGGCCGTGTAATGCAGTTCATAAAAGTCAATTCCTGATTTTCTTCATTTCTTCAATTTAGCTCCGAAAGTTCCGAAATTTCACCGAGAGCTTCCCTTGACCATCCTAAGCATGCTCCAATCTTCAAATCACCCTGAAACATCCACAAAAAATGGTGAAATATCGATAGATCCTCAATAATGTCTTTAAATGCAAAATGAATGAATATTACACTAAAAATGCAATGCAATGTTATAAATAAACATGAAATTAGCTTATGAAAAGGTGCAATTTATGCACCTAACAAATCTCCCCAAGCTTGAACCTTTTCTTGTCCTCAAGAAAACAAAAAAAAAATTAACCTTGGAAGAGATGAATGCAAATGCAAATGAAGAAATGCAAACATAGAAAAAAAAAAAGAATGCCTCAAGTTAATTATCCCGACAACATAATCATGATTAAAGAGTTGTCAACCTATACCCCAAACACATACGAATGTACTGCATTCCAAATCAGGACAGTAGAAGACTTGGAACATAAAGATTTGCCAACCACTTGGTTTAATTGCATAGAACCATAATATAAGGCATCTCTTAGTAACTTTTACTGTCAAGGCAGGTGCATCTCAATCTATAGGGCGTGCTCACTGAAACACTCAACTCGTGTATGCACTCATTTCACAAGATGTGTGAACTCACTCCTATCAAAGAATCTACACTCGTTATTTAAGGTGGAGGGCACTCGGCGTCGGTAAGGCATATCCCATTCTTCTTAGTATTCTCTCCATGCTCTTCAATAGCTTGCGGTTGCACAATCTTAATATCTTCTAGTTTTCTAGTTTATTATTTTCATTCTAGTTTTCTAGTTGTAAATATTAGAAGTTTATTGTTGCATAAATCCTATTTATTTATTTTTTAATTTTTTTTTCGAACCAATCTTTTTGAACCAAGCGAAGATCATGTATAATCCAACAAAAAGTTAATTAGTCTAAACTAAATATTACAAAAAAAAACAAGCATATATACAAACGATTAACAAAATAAACTAAAAACGAAACTAGACAACCAAATGAACTTTTACGCCTCCTTATGCCTTACCGATTCACACAATAACGTACTCACGGGTATTTAAAAGCGCCCTACATTTGATTATCACCTGCTGTGACCGAATTATTTAAGAGGAGTTGCTTGTCATAAAACACCTCAATGCACCGACACTAAGTGAATAGCAAATAAGTGTGTTCTCAATAGTTCTAAAGTTTCACAAATTAGCGACACCACATGTATAAGGGGTATAAGCAGACAAAACTTTGAACTTGACCGTGTATTGTGATAAAAAGTTAAAGGCATTCTAAAGATGAGAAGAAAGAGGAGAGAAAAATTCATGAAATGATCTTAAAAACCTAAATGAAAAAGAAAAATATTTTTGTATTTTTATTTTTATTAATGCGATGAATGAATATGGAATTTTTTTTAATGAGTATGCATAATACACTCCTCCCCAAGCTTAAAAATGTGCATCGTCCTCGATGCTTGGGAAGAGAGCGGGACAAATTATTGAGGAGGATCTTGAGGTGGGAATAGAGGAGGATATTGATGTGGAAATTGTGGATTGTACGGTGGGGGTAATGTGGATATTGAGGGTAATAAGGTGGTCGTGTAGGTTGACCATCGAAACAAAGTACCCTATGCATGTCGGTCACAAGGGAATCCACATGTTGGTTGCGTGATTTTTGATTGTCTCTAAAGGTATAAAACTCTTCCCTAAACTCCACCATCTCAGTATTTATCTCACAAACACTATCATAAAGTTCAGAATAATCACGATGCAAACGCCGATTGTCTTCATGCAACCTATGAAATTCTTGCATATACATGTCATGATGGGGATGCATGACAGGTTCTTGCTGCACAGGAGCAGCAGCATCAGGTATGGTTGCATCGGGAATCGGTTCATCCGCATCAGAATCAGGATCCGGCTCGGGCATCGGAACACCTAAATTAGACCTAAGGCGCCACACAGTGTTGTGAATGGGATTGGACAATCTAAGAAGTTGGGAATTCTAATGATCAATACGGAGGTAGTCGCGGCTATCAACAGCCCAACAAACGTTATGCGTTTCATCATCCAAGTGAAACAAATGCATATTTTGCAAGATGTTTGTTGTGAGACGAGTTTCTCCTTCAATGATATCGAGACCGGGAGGAAAGCGAATGACAAGAGCTGGGTGTTTGAGGATAATTGTGATCATACCACCACAAAGTAATTTACCACTGGTGCTGCGGGATATTTTCAACAATTTGAAAATGATCCATAATCCAAAATCAGGAAGTTGAGTTGGGTTGTGGATCATACACCACATAAGCTCTAATTCTTTTTGGCCAGCCCTGCTTATCTCATTTTGTGGAAATACAATAGAAGCAAGGATGCGATGAGTGGCCTTAAGAACAGGATGAATGATACTTGATGCTTTGGCAGCACTTGGAAAATATCTTAATCCTGAAATTCTCCCCCAAAAAGCTTTAGCATCCTCTTGAAATGGAAAATTAAAAATGTGAAATGGGCTGTAAGTGTTAGCAATTGGAGCACCAATGAGTTCACATAATTGATTTTTATGCAATTGATAATTACGACTAAAAGCACGGAAGAAAAGATACTTGTTCGATGATTGAAGGAAACAGATGACAGAAATTCAATAGTGGGTTGGACATAACCCACATCATGCAATGACAACAAACCTTCCCATCCAATATTTCTGAACAAAACACGGACTTGGTCATGTATATGGAGGGACTCAAGAGTGGGCATGTCCACGAATTTCTGTGTTGCACGCCTACGACCAAGAAAATTGTGATACCTAGCTTCTTGTTGAGAGTCTAAGAATGCCAATGCACCCGAATTTTGGCGTGGAGGGTTTGGGTCATGTTGACTAACACTAGAGTCAACGACTCTAGAACGCTTGGAATTACCCTTTTTACCACCCCCACGAGATGATGAAGCCATGAGAGAAACAATTTAAGCACAAAAGTTTGACTCTTAAGCACAATGCACAACCACTTTAAATGACCAACACACAATTAACACTCAATTTGACAGTTTAAGCACAAAGATTAAAGCTTTTTGACTAACAATGCAAAGTCAAAGAATTGGAAGGAGAATACCCGATTTAGAGCTTGAAACACGAAATTGGTGCTTGAAATCACTTGTAATCTCTTCCACAATGCTTCCCCAAGCTTATCCTACAAACAATTTGAAGAAATTAAAAAGAAATTTTCGGACCCCAATTTCTAGGGTTCTTCCAAAAATCCGAAAATCACCATTAAAATGGTGTTTTGAAGGTGGTGAGTGTAAGGAAGAAGAAAGGGGAATGAAAAATCATACCTTGCTTGCTTAAATCCATGGAAAATCGAAGATTTTAGGTGTATGTGTGTGTGTTCGGTCGTATGCGATGAAGGGTAGTAAGAGGGAAGTCACGACTGGAATGAGGAAAAGAAGGAGCTGCACAATCTTAAAGAAATCTCGTTTTTTTTATGTACAGGCCTCGTTACACGGCCCGTGTAATGGCAAGAGTAATGTTACATGGCCGTGTAACACCAAAAATCTGGAATCTATCTTCATTACACGGCCGTGTTTTGCAAAGGCATGCTTTACACGGCCCGTGTAATGTTCTGAGAGTTACACCTTGATTTTTCCTATTTCTGCACCCGCTCACTTCCAATCTTCATAAAAATTATTTTTAGACTCCCTTAATTATTCTAAGAACCTTGGAACACAAAAACTCAAAAGAAAATGTCCAAACGAAAATTTTACTAAAATGACCAAAATACCCCCGAGTTGCCTCTCGTGTAGCTGCCCTTGTTTAAAGTCGGTAGCTCGACATGGACCCCAATTATTTGTCAATCTTGGTATTTTGGATCCGTTACTTCCTCCACTTCTTCGTTTTTGACTTGAAATCCTTCATAATAAGGCTTCAAACGATGACCGTTTACTTTAAAGATCTTCCCGGTTTTCTCACTTGTGATTTCTATTGCACCATGCTCAAAAACATTAGTGACAACAAATGGTCCCACCCAACGGGACCTTAATTTACCAGGAATTAATTTAAAACGAGAGTGGTAAAGTAATACCTTTTGACCTTTTTGAAATACCTTACGTGAAATCATCTTGTCATGGTATGCTTTTGTTCTTTCTTTGTAAAGAACTTCATTCTCATATGCTTCATTGCGAATCTCCTCAAGCTCTTGTATGTCCAGCTTCCTATTCTTTCCCGACTCATTTAAATCCATATTGAATTGTTTGACTGCCCAATAGGCTCTATGCTCCAACTCAACGGGTAATCGACATGGCTTTCCAAAAATAATGCGGTATGGAGACATTCCAATTGGAGTTTTGTATGCAGTGCGGTACGCCCACAAAGCATCATCAAGGCGTGTACTCCAATCTTTCCTTGTTGTATTCACAGTTTTCTCCAAAATACCCTTGATTTGTCGATTGCTCACTTCGGCTTGTCCATTTGTTTGTGGGTGGTATGTTGTGGAGACTTTATGAGTAACACCATATTTCTTCAAAACACTCCCGAGCATACGATTGCAAAAAATGTGTACCACGATCACTGATTAAGGCCTTTGGAACATCAAATCTGGAAAAGATGTTAGCCTTCAAAAAATCTATCACAACTTTTGAATCGTTAGTACGGGTAGCTTTTGCTTCCACCCATTTGGAAACATAATCCACAGCCAAAAGGATATAAGTAAAACCCGAAGATGATGGAAAAGGTCCCATGAAATCAATGCCCCAAACATCAAAAAATTTCACAAACTAAAATGGGACTTAAGGGCATTTGATTCTTTGAATTTAAAGAACCCATCTTTTGACACTTATCACAGCTTGTACAAAAAACATAAGAGTCATGGAAAATACTTGGCCAGTAAAATCCACTCTCTAATACTTTTCTTGCAGTTCCTTGAGGACCAAAATGCCCTCCACAAGCATAAGAGTGACAAAATGCTAAGATAGAAGATACCTCATGTTGTTGCACACATCGTCTAATCATTTGATCAGCATAATATTTCCACAAATATGGATCATCCCATACGTACCTCTTGGCTTCTTTCTTGATTTTGTCTTTTTGCCATCGAGTCAAATCTGGTGGAAATTGATTTGTGACAATGTAGTTCACAATATCGGCATACCATGGGGCAACTTTTGCTGAAAATAGGTTCTCATCGGGAAATGCATCATGAATGGTAGTTGAATCATCGGGAGAAACAATCATGCTAAGATGATCAGCCACAAGGTTTGACTTTCCGCTCTTGTCCTTGATTTCAATATCAAACTCTTGTAAGAGTAATACCCATCGAATGAGTCTAGGCTTCGAATCCTTCTTTGCAAGTAGGTACCTAATAGCTGCATGATCAGAATAAACAATCACTTTAGAACCTAACAAATATTGACGGAATTTCTCTAAAGCAAAGACAATAGATAGCAATTCTTTCTCAGTTGTCGAATAGTTGGCTTGTGCACTATCAAGTGTCTTTGAGGCATAATAAATGACATGAGGAACTCGGTCTTTTCTTTGCCCCAATACTGCACCAACCGCATGATTGCTAGCATCACACATGATTTCAAAGGGCAAACTCCAATCCGGTGATTGAAGTATTGGTGCTGAGATTAACAACTCCTTCAACTGATCAAATACTTGCTTGCACTCTTTGGAAAATTTGAACTCTGCATCCTTTTGTAGAAGCTCACACATGGGACGGGATATCTTGGAAAAATCTTTGATGAATCTTCTATAAAAACCTGCATGACCAAGAAACGAGCGTACCTCACGAACACAAGTGGGGTAAGGTAAAGACTTTATGACATCTATTTTCGCTTTGTCTACCTCTAGACCCTTAGAAGACACAATATGACCAAGTATGAGACCTTTATCAACCATAAAATGACACTTTTCATAATTCAAAACAAGGTTGGTCTCAATACATCTTTGCAAAAAAATTTCAAATTGCCTAAACACTCATGAAAAGAATTACCATAAACTGTGAAATCGTCCATAAAAACTTCAATAATCTCCTCAACATACTCTAAAAAAAATACTTACCATGCACCTTTGAAAAGTGGCGGGAGCATTGCAAAGTCCAAAAGGCATCCGCTTATATGCAAATGTTCCGAAGGGACATGTGAAAGTGGTTTTTTCTTGATCCTCGGGTGCAACGGGTATTTGATGAAAACCAGAATACCCATCCAAGCAACAATAGTGCGTTTTTCCCACTAATCTTTCCAACATTTGATCAATGAAGGGAAGTGGGAAATGGTCTTTCCGGGTTGAGGAATTGAGTCTTCTATAATCAATGTAAACTCTCCACCCGTTTTGCACACGGGTGGGGACTAATTCACCTTGGTCATTTTTTGTAACAGTAATACCTGTCTTCTTGGGTACAACTTGGACTGGACTTACCCACTTGCTATCCGATATAGGATAGATCATCCCCGCATTCAACAACTTTAAAATCTCTTTTTTTCACAACCTCCATCATTGGAGGGTTCAAACGTCTTTGAGCTTCTCGGGAAGGCTTGTAATCTTCTTCCATAAGGATTTTATGCATGCAAAGTGAAGGACTTAGCCCTTTGATGTCGGCTATAGTCCACCCAATAGCTTCCTTATACTCTTTCAAGGTGGTGACAAGCTCTTCTATTCTTTTGTTGACAACTTTGTGGAAATGATCACTCGCAAAGTCTCTTTCTCTCCAAGATACGCATACTTGAGGTGCTCGGGTAAAGTCCTGAGCTCCAATTTTGGTGTCTGCACAATAGAAGGAACAAGTTTCTCATTAGGCATCGATAACTTCAGTTTCGGAACATCAAACCTCGTTTTCTTCTTTTCATCCATGCAAGATACAACTTCCATAATCTCCTCATCAATTTTAAATTGCTTGGCAAGTTTTTCCAATTTTTTCTTTTGAAGATTCCTGTCTAAAATGAGAG